AAGCCATACCATACCAAGACATCAACCTTTTGGATTTTTTTGAGTTTTGGAATGCTCTAATCCAGAGCAATTCAAATTTCCTGCATATCTTCTCAGATAAAAACAAAGAATTGCTGTTCTTTTCTGAATAATTGTTCTTCTTTACCAAACATATTTGTTTACATGAATTTTGGTCAGAAGAATTTGAGAAAAAGTATCATGTGCAAACCAAGAGCTTTCTCATCCAGAGCAATTTGAATTTCCTGCATATCTTTTCAGATAAAAACAAAGAATTGCTGTTCTTTTCTGAATAATTGTTCTTCTTTACCAAACATATTTGTTTACATGAATTTTGGTCAGAAGAAGTTGAGAAAAAGTATCATGTGCAAACCAAGAGCTTGTGGACTTGGAAGAATGAGTAGCAATCAATGTCAACATGAAGAATCTATAATCCAACCCAATTGAACATTCTGAAACTTGAGCTGATAGGACCAAAAGGGCAATTTATCAAGTACATATCTTTACTTAAACAAAACTTGCCAAGCTCTTGCATCCATGCACTATACAAACTCCTGAAATTCTTTTATTTTGCTTTCAACTCTTGTGTTATAGTGCACAATTTATCTTTTAATCACATAGATCAGATGCCTTTGATTAGGGGGGGCTTAGGAATCCCAAATTTGTAACTTTTTGCATAAATTTTATGAATTCAGGATTTCTTTAACAGCATCCGAAATTTTCTTGATCAGCAGAAAAATAAAGCCGGTCAATTGGGTATCCAGATATCAAGTGGCCTCTCTTGACTACCTCACCTATTTCCCTAGTCTGTTAATCAACTACATCAGAAAAATTCTGACAAACCAAAGCCAAGATCAATACACTGCAAACATTATTCAACTTCCCCAAGTGGGCAGGAAAGAATGATTGGAAGAATTATTTGTCGTAAAATGATCTATCACTCCACACCTGAGCCAGAACACACACACTACATATGTGTAGCAGGTTCAGTGAATAGATGATTATCATGTACATACAATTGTGCTCAGTTATCTGCTCACCAGGATAAGTTATTCATATGTAATACATGCTGTAACTTTTTTCAGGTTGACAAAAGCATTCAAAAGATTGACTACATACACTGACTTAGCTTTTTGGTGTGATCTCATCAACTTGACTGCATGTAACACCCTTTCTGCTACTAAGAAATAGCTTCAACAATATTGCCTGAGCAGCTACAGAATTATATGTAGTGAACATTGGGGACAATTTTGTCAAAGTCAAAAAAAGTTACATGTGTTCAACATGTGATTTATCTATTCTGATGGGCAAAAAACTGAGCAGACCTGTATGTACATGATAGACAACTATTTACTTAGCTTGCTGCGCATATGTAGTGTGGGTGTTATGGCTCAGGTGTGCAGTAGTGGATCCTTTTATGACAAACTGTAATATTAATCATTTTCCTCTTCCAACTTAAGGAAGTTGAATGATACTCATAGTGATAAGCAATGTATTGACCTGCTTCATCTGGCCCCTGGCACACCCTTGACTCAAGCCTGTATTTTCCAGTCTAAACAGCTTAAAAAAGGAAACACAGCAAATGAAAAAGCCAAGCCAATAGTGGTACATTAAGCCAAAAACCACATGAAAAAACCACATGAAAAAACCACATGAAAAAACCACACAACAAGCCGAGTAAATTATTAGTCATCATGTACATACAGTTCTGCTCAGTTCTCCACTAGGGCTGCGACCCGGACCCGGCCCCGCCCGCCCGAGTCTGCCCAGCGACCTCTGGAGAGCTTGCGGTCCGCGCCCCGGGGCCGCAGAACGTCACGTGTTTTACTCACAAAGGTGCCCTGAGAGCGCTCGGGCGGGTCGGGCACCAGGGCTGCCGATCATCCCAAGCTGTACAACTCATGATTTTTGTGCCCAAAACCTAAGCCTGACTCTGCCTGGCCCCTAGGCCTCAAGTTCAGGGCACGCCCTGCCTGGCCCTGAACCATTTTTGAAGGCCCTCGGGTTTCCTTGCGGCCGGGCTGCGCCCCGGGGCCGGGTCACAGCCCTATTCTCCACTCATCTGAATAAGTGAATCATATGTAATACTTTCTGTAATCTTTTTCAGTTTGACACAAGCATTCCAAAAATTGACTAGATACACTGACTCATAGTTTTGGTGTAGTTCCATGAATTAAACCTCTTGTAACACCCTTTCTGTTACTGTTGAATGGCTTTGTTGCACATATGTAGTGTGGGTGTTATGGCTCAGGTGTGCAGTGATAGATCTCTTGATGACAAACTACAATAATTAGGGTGTTCAAACCTGTGCAAGAACTTTGCAAGAACTGTGCAAGAATTTTGACACTAATTTTGCACATTATTCGTTTGACAACCCAAGTTATTGTGTTCCAAACCGTGCAAAAACCATGTGAGACCAACTCTTGCAAGTTTTGTGCAAGATACGTGCAAGTTCTATTCATATCTTGCACAGAACTTGCACCAAACTTGCACAAATTAATTTTGAGGTTTGAATACCATAAATAATTATTTTCCCAGTTCCACTTGGGCATAGTGTATAATGTTTACAGTGAATACAAGCATATATTGGCTGTATTTGGGTGTGGTGTTCACGCAAAAGTCACAAAAACATTGCAACCATGACACATATTTTGCAAACAGCTGTATTCTCCAGACTTCAGATTGTTGGTTGACTTGAGTTGTGTTTGAAATGTTTGGGGTGGCTTCTCTATATTTGTGTTTTCCATGCTGCTTTGGTTGCTATTTGAAATGTTCCTCTTTCCAACGCTATTTGATTACATTTCATAATTTCATCATGTGTATCTTGTTTTGTTTCTTTAACTCTCTCACTAATACTATTAGTTTATTTATATATACCTGTGGGTTTTTGCACATAGATTTGAACTTTGTCTGTTTTGACTCTATTTCATTTATAAGCTTATTATTGACAAACTTATGAACTTGTGCATCACTTACAGGTATGATGCTCTTTTCGTTTTCTTTGTTGTCCATTGATTTATATCATCTATTGTTTGTTATTTGTATGGAAGAAATCAACTTGATCTGTTTGACTCTATTTCATTTATAAGCTTATTATTGACAAGCTTGTAAACTTGTGTGATATTTACACAGATCTCCTATTCTTTTCTTTTGAATTATTTTCAATAATAGCAATTCATACTCTCTTCACAACAAACTTGATAATATCTTTATTAAGCTATAAACATATCAAATTTTCTAAAGTATTCAAAAATATTAGTACCTTACCTTAACCGGTCACTTGTTGAGACACTTTCCCCTTGTCTGGAAATAGCTTAATGCGAGCACAAATATTGTGCCTGTTACAGTATCAAGCATAACAATGAGGGTTTGAAATGAAGTTGCTTCAGAATGCTCCGGGACCTATTTGAGGATAATAACGTCCAAGAAGGCAAATGGTAATGGGTAACAAAGCTGAGTGGCAGCCAAGGTTTGCCTTGTAACCACACCCACCTGTTTCTCATTTCACATGTCATCTTGCTTTGATCATTCAACCAATCACAAGCCACCTGATTCCCCAGTTGTGGTCTTTTTTCAAATGCCTGTGATTTTGTGTATCACACTGACTAGCAATGTAGGAATACCATAAAATTATGAGGATTACAACTCCATTTGAGGTGTCTTATGTACCTGACTACCAAGCCTTTACGTGAGGATCTGGGTCGTAGATGCGCACCTGAAATAAAGATAGGTAAGAACAATGAGTCGTTATGAGTTTAGTCTTCTAAATATGTTTTCAGGTGAAGAAATCATTCTTCTTCTAGTATAAAATTAGCCAAGTATGGAATTACTCTGGGTGTATCTAAAAGTGATGATGCCAAAGACTTAATATAATCAAGTTTCAATGCTTATGGTATTTTGATTACAGGGGCAATAGTTAAAATGAAATGTAATGAAATAAAAAGATAACAATTCAAGAGTTTTCAGAAAGCATAGAAAACTAAACAACAAAACACACCTAGAGATGTGAAACTCCTATTAATGGATTTCAGAGGGACATTGTTGCATGATATGAGATCTCAGCCACCTTGAAAATCTTAAGTATCTTGGCACAAATAATTTGCCTGAGTATGATGATTGATCTAGTGTATTGTCAGAATACGTATCAATGCATATACTTGTACTGAAGACTCTTGCTATCATATCTGCACAGAGTTGAAGTTTCTCATTGTGACCATCTCTTTGCAGCACGTAGATCATCTTTGGCATTAGTCTCTTGAGAAATCACTAAGAGAGCCCCAGTTTTTTGGTTTGCTAAAATAAACAACTATTGTCTCAAATAACTTGAGTATCATCCATAAATTTTATCCTCCCTTTCAATGTTTTGTATTACATGAAGATTCAATTCTGGTTTATATGAGGTGGATCAACTGGGAAATCATCTACTGTATCTACAGTTTTCAATGAACTTGAACTTATTATTCATATCCTCAATCAAGCCATCTAATTATACTTTACTATTTGGTTTCACCATAATATTGGGAAAGGTGAAAACACAGCAGACAGACCTGTGATTGGGAGATCATGTCATACCCTGATCAGTGTTAGACTACTGTGAGGGTTGTCCTAGCTCTTTTTTAATGGGATGAGTCTTGTCAATGAAATCTGGTAGAAGCTTTATCAGACAAGCTTTGTTGCCATGATGGATATCCAATTGCCACTTGATTAGATTTGACAAGGTTTGGGCTGATTGAAGGCCCACTGGTTTTCTTACACGTCTGTATCAATAACCAAAAATTGACATCTACATGCATAGCACTACCAAATTGAATGAAGGGTTCAATTCAGCACCAAAAGGGTTGTTCAAGGTTGTTCATCGGCAAGGAAGGTTGAACTTGAAAGGGTTTAATTTGTTTTGTAGCATTTCCTACATGTAGTGGTAATTTGTAATTGGTGATGATGATTATAATGAGGGTGATTGAATTAAGAAGGGCTTTGTTGACTTTTTTTTTGGGAGAAAACCCCGATCGATCAAATAAATACCACTTACTCATTCTCCACCGTCACCAACACCTTCATCAACACTTCACTAACCCCATTTTCAAACAACAATATTATAAACATGGCAGATGCTGATAACACCACTCCAGCAACCACTGTAAGTCATATCTTTTTTCAAATTTCATGAATCCATATCCAACTTTTTCTTCATCTCTTTCATCTTTCTTAATCTTTCAACTCCGATGTTTGGAAAATCGATCATATCTTTCTTACATATTTCAAGATTGATCTATGTTTCAATTTCTTCGATCATTTGAACTGACTGTTTTATTACTTTTCTTTGGATCAGGAAGGTACTCAAGAACCTGATTTACACTTTGAACCATTGGTTAAACTTGATGCAGTTGAGTTTCTGGTCTTTCTATCTCTCAATTCGATGTCGAATGACTTGAGGAATCCTAGATCAAATCAGCAAACTAACTTTAGAATTCCCTTTGTGTTCTTTTGTTTTCGATAAATAGGTAGAAACCAAAACTCATGAAGAAGATGAAGAAGTGTTTTTGAAACTGTTTGTCTTTATTTTTTTTCGCTTCTTGATATACTTTTTGTGGGTTATAACTTAACATCTTTTATTTCCAATTGTTAATTTTAGTCGAGCCAAACTTTTCAAATTCGATAAAGAGGCTGGAGAATGGCAGGAACGTGGAACTGGTGATGTGAAGATCTTACAACACAAAGTAAATTTCCTTTCACACTATTCGAATCCACTTACTTCATCATCCAGACATCTTACCTTCCTTTTTCTACTTGAAACCAATCGGAAAACTAGACCACACAGAAATTCAGATTAGTGATGCGTCGTGATAAGACTTTGAAAGTGTGTGCAAACCATTACAGTTAGTCAAGTTTTCGGTTTAGCTCTGTTTTGTTGAACGAAATTCAAAGTTATTGACCGCTTGAATGTCTTTCCTTTACCCCTTTGAATGCGTATCAAGTCTCTCCGGATATGACACTTGCATGTAATGTAGGATCAGATCGATCCTGGGTTTGGAATGTTACCGCTGACACCAGTGATGAAGGTACGATGGCTGTGACTTTGGCGATCAGGTTTGGTAACTCAGAAAGTAAGTGACTGGACTTAATCTCACGCCTTGTTTGATACTCATTCACACTGCCCTTTCTGCCTGAACTTAGATGCCAATATCTTCAAGGGCAAGTTCGAAGAAGCTCAAAAGATCAATGGATCATTGGCGCCATCTACTTCTGCTGAGAAGTCCGATGCCGCACCTACTACCGATTCTGACTCAAAGGCCGAAGCTGAAACTGAAACTGAAACAAAAGCTGAGGAAGAGACACCCGTGGTTCAAAGTGATGCGTCTGCTGATGCAGTTAAGGAAGCTGCTACTACCGAGTCAGCTGAGGAAAAGAAGAAAGAGGAAGAGACTACTGAGAGTTGATTTGTTGGAAGTTGTATGATGAGGAAAGGAGAGATTGAAAGAGATTTTGTGATATGAAATCAAACTCCTTTCTTTATTTGATTGTTTGAAACCAAAAACAACTTCTCCTAAACCTTTCTAAATCCCATTTTGGCATCCTTTTTGCTACGATTTTTTTCTACTTTCTGTTCCAACCCTTCTCCGTACCCCAGATTATACTTGTGGATTTCCTTTTTATTTTGAATTTTATTTTTGGGGTAAGAATCTAACATGGTTGATAATGATCCATAATTTCCATTTTTTTGCTTCTGTTGGAAAGAACCATTGGAGTTCCACCTAGATATCATCGAACTTATAAACAAGTTCCCTGGCTCCTTGCAAGGCACTCAAGTCTGAGATATCATGACCGTTCAATTCTGACTTTCACATTGCAGGATGATTTGTGGTTTAACCTAAAAAACAAGTGATCATACCTATTATCAACCAGTTGATAACGTTGAGAATTGTGAACAAGCATCCAACATAATCAATCTGAGCAAATTACATGTGACTTACTCGTCAACTCAGACTTTCTCCAGCACAACAAGTTGTCCGATGTTGCAAAATGTATCGTGATTTTAAAAACTTCGGGACACGTTTTTAAATGTCCCAAATAGCCTATTGCGGCAACTGGTTTGTATGAAATTCAATATACACACAACTTGATGTGGATTATGTATCCAAATTTGACACAGTCGAAAGGTGCACAATCTGCTTTTCTCAACATGATATATACTGGGCACTCTGTAGCGGATACTCATCCGCAGTATGCATCAACGTCTGCAGCTGGAAACCCATTGGCTCATGTATTGGGATCATTAAGAAAGATTTTCTGGGGTTGAATTCTTTCTGGAACACAGCGTATTTTTGATAATCATACCTTACATACCTGATAGGGTCCTATGGGATACTTGTATGCTCTTGTATGTTTATGATCAACATTTGATAACAAATAGGATAATTATACTATTGATATATATGGTTGTTTGAGTCGATGATCAATTCGATCATCGATGTAAAGTAAATAGAAAACAAACTATGTAGGGTGCCTTTTCATGTCTGGAGATATTCTTGTACCCACGCCAGCTCGTCCTCCAATTCATCAATCTCATCCTCTTCATTTTCACTGAAGCCCGTTGCGATTGACAATTGATCTGCCTCGGCAAGGTGAGTTGTGGAAGTCTTCCTCATTATGGCTGATGAGCTGCCTATGGAGGGACCAGCTTCCGGGCCTGCTAACGCGTATTTAAAAGCGTCAGCGGATTTATCGATTGAGAATAAGGAAGATTTCGACTCACCGTCAATCTTAGCTCGCTTAGAAGCATAGGCCGGAACGTTATGTTCAGGACGGCTCGCTGGAACTTGACGTGTGGCAGCAGGAGCTGAGTGAGCCAGCACCTCTTCACGCGCAATGTATGGCTCAAATATCGAAAGGTCATAGTCATCGTCCAACTCGTCCACTCCATCGGGTGACGGAGACTTTTCTGGTACTACGTCGTCCACGGTATTAGACCCCTCGTTTCCAGATTCGCCTGCTTTTCGTTTCTTTTCATTTTGTGGTATGCTTGCTATCTCCGGAGACAAAGAGGGGGAGATAAAGACGTTTTTCTCGGGTAGCGATCTGGTTTCCTCACAGTCAACGTCACTCAGATGCTGATTAGAACTTTCCACAATCAGTTTCTTTTTCCCCTTGATATCTTTCTTGTTCTCCAGCTGTCTGAAGATCGCGCGTTCATTGAAATCATTGACTGTCTTCTTTTTGTTCAAAAATCTCGAAACGCTCGAAGAGTTCACTTGTTGTTCTTCTAAGCTCTTTGGGAGTTGACTAGGTCTTGTGTTGAATTTGCCGCTTTTCGAACCTCCTGCAGGAACACCATTTCCCAGAGCACGATCAAGACGATCTAAAAAGTCCTGATCTTCTAGTATCATAGTATCGATATCTGGATCTGAAAATGTATGCGATGATTGGCTCCGTCCTCGGTGCAAACCAGGTCTCTCTTCCCTTCTCTTGGAACGCTCATTCGTGGTAAAAATATCTTCTACCTCGGGAAGGTCACCTCCTTGTCCAAAATCTATCAACAAAGCATGTATGAACTTTATATACGGAGCGACTTTTCAAACTACACTGAAAATGTCTTACACTGAGTGCCTGCTTTTACACCTCCCGAATTTGTTATCTTTGAAGTGCTCGAGTTCCCGGTTTGTTTGGGATTAAAAGATGCTTCAGGGCATGTTGCAATATCCTCAGATCGTGTAGAGCAGTCGTTTGTATTTTCCTTCTTGCGGGGTTGTGGTGGCTTTGCCATACCATTGATACAACTGAAAAAACAAATAAGGAATCTAAGACATAAAACTTGATAGGACGAGGTAGCTTACCAAGAATGATGACAGACGCCTTTGCATTTATGAGCACATTTGTATCTCCCATTTTCTGAGGAAGAAAAAAAAGTAAACTTTTTGTTCCAACTTGAATTCAATGAATTACTACTGACCTAGCCGGGATCCAGACTCCAACTGATTCAAAGTGTTTTTGTCTACTTTTTTTCCTCTGGATACAGGGAATTGATCTTTCTTCTCAGTCTGCGTACGAGTCGAGTCTTGGGGCTTTTTGATCCTTTTTTCGGCCTTTTTGGACTCAAGCAGAGGTGTGTGTTTCTCAATGACTATTTCATCCGAAGAAGAGTCCAGATCTTCAGCGTTTATTCCTGCGAGAACATCAGAGGCCGCAGCGTCGTCAGCACTAATAGCTTTCGGCGTGGGGTAATGTTGGCGTGGTGTATTCGGTGACCATCGCATGGTACATCCAATTCCTGCAATTTGTTGACAGGCGATATGAGTCACCAAATTCTGGGATGGCTTGATCAGAATGCACTCGACGGTGAATCTTTTAGGGTTGGATAAAAGTTTAACCCTGATGACAAAGCAGGATATTCCACAGTTTAATATCAAAAAGATCCTGTTCATCAGAACGTCTCTTCGCTCACTGAATGGCACGAAACTCGATCCATTGGTGATCGCTGGTCAGCACCAAGACTGTAGCCATCAAAATCGTGTTTCTCCATTTCCAGTTGACGGGTGAACTGGTGTCTGAGAGTCCAACCTCAATCTCAACGCAGACATGAATCCCCTCCGACGTGACATCTTCTGAAATACGATTCATGGTACACTCAAATTTGGGCATGGAGATAGCCTGTTTCACAATCCTTGTACCAAAGGGGGGATTGCGATCGAGGATCTGAAGTTTTCGAATAAAAAATGAAACAACGAGTTGTTCATCAACCTTATCGCACCGAATTGGATGAAGATCGGGGTATCAAAGCTGACCATTTCAATTCTCGAGGCATCTGTTTTCCTAACTTGATCGATTGTGCATATGTTACTCTCAGCCATCCGCTTGACCGATTTTTCTCCAATTTGATCCAGCTGGCGAAGCACCCAAGGGGAGCCTTCCCATGCCTTTGCGTTTACCGAACGTAATCTGATGGGTCACAAAGAAAGGGTCTTGTTTGGCTGGGGCAAATGATTACAGATATGAATAGCGGACCTACAGCTCAAGGCCGCTTTTTGCTCCGACATCACGTTTTGCAATAGTCAGTGCGACCAGACCTGAACAGTGAGTGCTTCAGCGATTAAACCCATATTGGCTACGTATGGGCTTGCACAATTTCATCCACTTACATTTGCAAATTCTAGGAAGGTGTTGCCAGACCATATTAGATTCCATCTGTGGGTTGTTGTTATCCGTCTTGAGCTCTACCAGTGGAATACCGCCCAGTATTGCCTTCATGTGGAGTCACGCTCAATTTCTTCCATGGTCAGTTTTCGAAAATAATTGGCATGACTGACTTGTATCAACAACATAACCTGTAAGATGGAAAGTCAGATATTGACATTGATATTTTTATCTGGCAAAATGACCTAGCAATTTGATACTACCTTTTGGTAAGACTGATTTATCTTTCCGGCCAGTGAAAACTTCAACTCGACGTTCGTGTTCAATTTGGTGTACGCCGTGATTTCTCCTATTGTATCATTCATCAGGATCTATGTCATTGCGAACCAAAGCTGCCGAATTGTGCGTACCAGCCCTGAATCTGATTGTCGAAAACTCTTCAGAATTTGAAATAGCCTCCAGCTGGCTACGGGTCGTTGAGTTTGGTTTCAAGCTAACAAGAATCAGAAAAGTCTTATGTCGAAGACAGTGCCTGGACATTATTTCCCCAAGGTCAGTCGGGTGTATCTCCCCATCGTGCTGCTCTATCAAGCCGTCTTTCGCGAGTAGATTGAGAGCGTTATCGACAAATATCTCGAGCTGGTGGTCGCCTGGTAATTCTGCAGCACCCCCAATGGAGTAATTCTGCGGATTTTCTGACGAGATGAAGCAGACCATGTTTCTCAGAGACGTGCTCTAAGAATATTGGGAATCATGAACTCACTTCGAATCCTGATTGAAAGAAATGAGTTGTGAATCCATCTCAATGCGGATGCGTGGCTCGTGATGGTCCCAATGTTGACCTCAGAGTTGATGTGCTCGGTCAAATTCTGCATAGATACTTTGTCAGAGCCAGATACTCGAATGTCTTTTGGATAGGATTGATTCTGTGGGAATCCAAATTCACCAAGTGTAGGCTATTGATTGCCGTAAAAGAAAATCAGCTATGATAAGTATGAGCGATTAGGCCATCGAACTCAAAGATATGTGAAGTTATGCTTACCATGATTCGAGAAGAGTCTTGGAATTTACAAGGTCATCGATGCGCGCTTTGTCATTTTGGGCTGTCATGATCACAGCGACTCCTTCAGTATCAAATTGCGGCCTCCCCGCGCGACCCATCATTTGTATCATATCGAGGTCACTGTAATTATCAAACCCATCCGTTCCAGACGCAGAACCTCCTTTATAGGCCCGCGTACCTCTGATTATCACACTTCTTGCTGGGAGATTGACCCCGACGGCTAGTGTCGATGTGGTACCTGAACAGAACTATCAGACAAAGCACCCATTTGATCCAGGAGATGACGGGTGAACAATTCAAAGCACATACATAATACTTTGATGATATTTTCCCGGAACAATTCTTCCACATGTTTCCGATCTTGCCAGTCTAGCCCAGCATGATGGATTCCAATTCCCTGCGAAACCAAGGACGCCAGTTTTTTATCTGAGATCTTTCTCGACCTGTTGTATAGTCAAAACGTCAATGAAGCCTCATCATCCTGCTACGGCGGCTAAAATTTCCACTCACGACTTTGCAACCTTCCATGGTAATTTACCGGGGTTGCTCTCGACTAACTTCTCATAAGCTTTAGAAATAGTCTCTGCTGCTTGTAAAGCGCTTTTACGTGTACCACAAAATATCAAAGTCCTATCTTTCGATAAAGATGTTTGATATATCAGAATTGAGAGAGTTACATGAGGATGATTCACTCACGGTTTTCCAGACGAGTGAGATATTATCATGTCCATGAGTCTGGAATGCGAAAGATCATAACGTTAGGAGGATATAGATACTTTGGGTGTGAAGTGGAATAGTCGCTCGCGAACAGATACTCAACTTGAAGTTTAAGATACTCATGAATTGGTATTCCGTCTGGTCCTTCTTTCTGGCGACTCCGTAGACAAATTTAGAAAGTTTTATCGGCCGGTATTCTTCCCCGAAGCTGGAATTGAAGAAATCTGTAGTCAAGTTCCAATTGAAATCTCATGGATCACAGAAGTGTCATCCAATTACATAAAAGTCTCAGCATGGCCTTTTGGAGATTGAGTTTCTTTTCTTTTTCCTATTAGGCCACTATCTCCAAGCCATTCGGCGACATCGTGAATGTTTGGTACCGTGGCACTGAGCGCTATGAATCGAATGCCTATTCGAGCCATATACTTGCCATCAGAATTTCCCGAATCCAAAAGAAGTAGGATATTTCGAAAGGCCAACGCGTTCCAAGCGTCTTCATACGTGAGACTATGACTTCCAAGACACTTCCCCGTTCTTCGCACAGCATATGGACTTCATCAATACAAACCAGTCTCAAAACACTCAAGATCTTAGGATAGTCAAACCTGTCAGGAGGTGGATGGAATTGATCATTAGTCAGTAAAATGAATGATCCACAGATTGGTGCATTCCCATTGGATCACTGACCATTTTCGAGTCATACTGTCCCATTTCTCGGGTGTAGTGATGATCACATTAGCAATCTTGGCATCTTTCAAGCTTGAGAACTCGCTGTCGCCGGTCAATTCAATACATTTAACACCCAGGGTGGCCAGCTTAGTCGTCCAATCTTGGAACCGCTCACTGCACAGCGATTTTGTGGGTGCCATGTAAACAGCTTTAGCGCATGAATCATACTCGAGCATGCGCAGTATGCCAAGCTCAAAAATGACGGTTTTTCCACTTCCTGTTGGGGCCGTAACGACGACGTTGGCTTCTGACTCATAAACCTGGAAGATATCGATGGGGTAAGTACTTGATTGGGTTCATTGAGATAATGAATACTTGCCGTTGGTAGAATCTTGCTCTGGACGAGGTTGAAAAATTGGAAGGGGAAAACCTTCTTGTACGGGTCGGCTTCGCGGATGAAAGAAATCAGTACAATTCAACGCAGCCATCGCAACATCATTCACTAGAATGATTAAACACTTACGTAGGTTTGAGACGGGGGTTGACCTCACTGAAGGCCCTTGCTCGCGAGTAAGCGTTGTAGTATTTCGCGACTCTGGATACCCAGTCTCACGGTTGGCCGTAGGAATACTCGGATGGGGCCCATCAACGTCATGAACCAGACTGTAAGACGTGTTCGGCACGGCTGATGCAAACGAGTTGTCAGATGAAGCATGCTCCACGGCCAAAGTAATCGAACGAATCCTAACGAATCCTGACTCACCTGTTTCGGTAGACCGTCGATGCTCTGACACTCGATCCCGCTGGTTATTTGGGAGGTGTAGAGGAGGACCCGAAGGCAGGTCCTCGAATCTCGTTGGTTCTGGACCTGCGTCAGCCCCGGTCCTATCGTCGTAATGAGAGTAGTCTTCTCCATTATACTCATAGGCAGCTTCACCGATATCTAAAGTGGTACTGTTGATCAGCATAGGACGACAGGATGGTGATCTTTTGTTTCACCTTGCTCCGGGTAATCCTGATCATACTCATCCATTTCGTATGCATGTTGGGCTTCAAATCCGGCGTGTTGACCATATTCATGACTGTGATCGACGGCTTGAATGTAAGATCCTCTGTCCATCGGAGAATAAGGTTGCAAGGGCAACGCAGATCCGTAAGGTTCTTGACCTTCAAAGATGCCAAATTCCTTTGCGAGACTGTGTTGGACATGGACCAAGACAAATACGTCTTAATCAGATTGAAGCAAGGTTGAAACCTAGTATGCACGACGATAGCTAACTTTTCAAAGTCTTCATCCATGTTATGGCAAATCAAGTATAAGTCTAAGCGAACCACCGATCTGATGGAGATGATGAAAATGCGATGAAGATCAAAATATAAATCAGAGGATGAATGAGGAGTGAAAAGATAAAAGATGTCGGATGAGGTGGTCAACAGCTTACAAAACTGTCACTATTAGTATGAGCACAAGTCCAAACTTCAAAGAGCTGATTACCATTCTACGCATACACACTGCACAGTGAGAAGTTGAAATTAAATGCGTGACTCTCTTCTGATGTCAACCTTACACTCGGCGCTCGTCTTTACCTGAATTTCGTACACTCATCATAAGTTTTGGGGTACTACCAGGCGTGAAGCGGGAAACACTTGTCATCGAAATGTTATAGACTATATTGATGTGGGGAACATTAGACTAGCAATGCCTTCCCCTAGGGAGGTGCATGCAATATATCGCAGGCAAACACGGCAAAGCATTGTCATCATGACCTAAACCTAAAGGTATGTATTTCTGTTTCCCACTGGCACAACTATGTCTTTTTGCAGCCAGTCATACACCACACAAGGCGGCTCCCAGGAAGTTGTCTTTATGATTGCGAACACTCAATCAATTACAAATAGCGTGAGCTGTGAGTCCCTCTTCTATGTACCTAAGTGTTCAACCAGATCGGATCAAACGTGTCCTATCAGGAAGCCGTGCCGGACGTAGCATGATCGAATACGGCTGGCGCACACCTCACTTTTGTTCGTCTCCGAACAGTTGTCATTCTCGTGTTTTGTCAATGCGTAGCTTACGAACTGCGATCTCATTTAGAACCACCTAATTTCAGTTGATGGAATTTTACTACCCAGTCCACTCGGCGAAGACAACGCTCACGAAGTAAAAATTACGACGGTAAACAAGCAACGTGTCAAAGGCAGCCTCACATCTATGACGATGGAGCATGATTTGGCTGCCTTGCTTGAAATTTATGATCGCCGCGGTCTTCGGCTTCGGCGAGCAAAAATTGAACGCAAATGACATCCGCCTTGTGCGTGTCATTTCAAAAGCGCTTCAACTTCAGGTTTTTCATATTTTGCTTGCCCAGAACATTGTTCTTTCAAAACATATAAAACTATCCGTCTTTCCAACTATATACCGGCTATAAATCCCCTTGATTGATCAAGGACTACATCTCATCGATCAAACTATTTATTTATTTAACAAAACACTCTATCTATAAAATGGCGTCCTATTTTTCAATACCCCAATCAATTGCTTTTCGCGATGACTCGTCAACATATTGCACCAATGGAACTGACGGTTATCCTTCTCTCGTCGAATTCAACGCAAAGATGGAGAATTACGTGAATCGAAAAAGGCGTACGGAACGGACCGCTATTGTGAGTAATTTATTCAAAGTCTTCCTCTGTTCATTGATATTGATGTTTGATTCCGGTCATTTTCTAACAGAGTCAAGCAGACTCGGAGCGTATTCAATATCTACTTTCAAACCCAGATGCGCTGCGCTCTGAACCTAGCGCGAGCTATAAGACCTGGATCAAAAAGACTTTTTGCTTGAAACCCACCCTTGCTGGAACCATAGTTTGTCGCAAGGAGAAAGACCCACAAGATGCCAGGCCGATTGCCACTAAGGAAATGATGTATTTTGTTCTCAAGCATGCCCATGCTGGTGAGGGACATGGTGGAAGAGATAAGACGGCGAAGATTGTGAAGCAGTCGCACTCCTTTGTTCGAAAGGGTCTGATATGTTTATTTCTTGAATTGTGCCCAACATGTCGAACACGAACTGAGGCTCTCAAAAAGGAAAAGCTCAACAATGTCCAAACAGCACCCAAGTTTTCAAACAACATCTTCAACCTAGCTGCAAGATCACCCGTCTTACCGCAGGCGGTGGCTTATCCAGTCATCAATCAACGCTATTCGATGCCCTCCATTTTTACCCAACCCATCGTACCTGATAATCAAGTCAGCACGTATCCCAGCTTCCAGAATCATGAGATGTCATTGGCGCTTGCACAAGTCCCCGCAGCTCCTTTGACGTCTTATGGAGTACCACCGCAAAGCTCAGCAGCGCTATATGACCTCCCCGACTCATCAATCCTGACAAACCTTCTCATGGAACCATATCTCATGACACCTAATACCGCTTGTTCTTTTGGAGACTTTCAACTGCAAAATCAACAACCTTATCATCATGCCTCACTCCCTGAAGCTAACTTCAATGGAAATCTTCGACCTGTGCCTCGAGACTATAATCGCATCACCTCGACACAGCCAAGCGAGCCGATCAAATTCTCCAATCCATTCGAAATGAGCTCCATGCCATTGAAGTCCCATGACTTCCAACCTTCAGTTGGCCAGAGCTTCCCTCAGGTCGACGCATCGGCACCCTTCCTTGACCTCTTTGGACATCTTACACCCAACAGCATATACTCGCCTATGTCTCAGACTCCACCACCTCAAATGGCTTCGCAAGACCTCCAACATATCGACAACTTTCTATTCCCAACGACCAATACAAAAGTCGGACGCTTTAATAATCGTCACTCATGTTTTTAAGTTATATATTGTAAAATTCTCTTATAACCGGACTACATATTCTTATTTTGTTTATTTCTACAGCGGTAACTTTGTGCTGGGTCACTATCGGTTCCACTCGTATCTATTTATATCCATGCTAACTACTTGCATATGCCTACATCCATGCTAACTACTTGCATATACCTACTTGATATAACACTCAAAGAGCGTACATTTCACTTTACTATGTATACTAAAAAGTTCCACTATCCTTGCCTTCCCAGTGATAAAACATCGTTGATGACGTCCTTCCATCTGTTCAATAAACCTCTGAGTGACATTGATCTAAAATGAGTCTATTCCCTACAAGTGAGGAAGTACCACTGTTACCACACGTGATATAGGAGCGTCTGGAATCATCTGCTAAAGTCAGTCAAGATTGAAATTTTGGAAGGCTGCTCGCGCAGGAGTTCATACCGCGACAGACTTCTCATTGCGCTCGCACACAACAAGCCTTCAGTGCACACAGCCTCTTGAGGTAACTCGACGGTTGAAGTTGTAATCCTTCCCGCCATAGACCGCGCATGCAATGGCGAGACAATCATCCAACCGTACCCAAGTTGGCGGAACGTTCGATCCAGGACTAGCGGTTGTACATTATGGGCAACGGAACGGCCGTCCTTGAACTCGGTTTCACTTTTGGTGATAGGACGAAGTGGCTTGCGAACCAATCTTGAGAAAGAAAAGTGTTCAGAGCAAGTGCGCCTTCGAGATTCCACACCCCTTCTTCACGAATACCTATCTATCCTCAATCGTTCTTCTTACCAATTTGTCATCGACACATCCGTTGCTTATTTTTCTTGTTGCCCTACTTGCTTGACAATCCGTTATACTCCCCTCCTGCTACAGATTATCGGGTCTTTTGAAACTCGTACTCGTAAGAAGTTTCCCTCGCCTCTCCTTGATTCTCTTTGTGCTCCAGGAAATCACTCATCATTTACGACGCGTCTTGGTAGAAGACCCGCGTGACTCACTGAGTGCAGCAACTTATAGGAATCTCATGGAACATCGACTGGACCATTATCCAATTCAGGGGTCGGTGTCAATTGCCGATAATCTTCAAGACGGGATGGGAAATTGGCCACAACAGATAATGAATCCTACACTTTACCAGAGGGAACCGCACTCCCAATCTATGCAAGGCGGTGAAACAGAACAAAGCATCAGCCGGAATCCAGAACTGATAATCATGTCTTGTACTAATGGAAGCGACGGCTTTCCGGCACAAATTGAATTTAATCGCCGGATGGAAAACTATATCAGTCGCAAGAAGCGCGCAGAGAGGACTGTGGTGGTTTGTAGACTTTTATTTTATTTTCCTTTTTGGTCTTCATGCTCGTAGACCGTTTGGCCCACAAGATTGGGATAACCACTGAGCAGAAATGTTTTGTTTTTCATACAGAATGACGAAGAACTCGCATCAATTCATCGCCTGCTGTCTGATCCAGCGGCCATGCGAGCAGAAACTGATGTCAGCCACCGCACTTGGGTCAAGAAGACATTCTGTTTACGGCCATCATTGTCTGCCGGTTCCGTTGTTTGCCATAGGGATAAGGGTCAAACAATACCTCAACCGATTGCCTCTAAAGAACAAATGTATTTCATCTTGAAGAAGGCTCACGCGTCGGAAGGTCATGGAGGTCGAGATAAGACGGCAAAGGCTGTGAAGAAAACTCATTCCTTCATTCGAAAAGGACTCATCTGCTTGTTCCTTGAAGTCTGCCCAACTTGTCGCGTCAGGAACGATGCCGTCAAGAAAGACAAACCCAACAACACTGGCACCTTTTCTGGTATTTCGGACTCGCATGGCGGGATGTCACTAGGGCCTTGGGGTATGGACACATTGCATCCGCCTCCTCCGCCTGACTTAGGCTCGCAAGGATTTTTTCTCGGCAAGGAACTAGGTCCACCGGGGATGAATCCCACCCATACCTCCGGAAGACGCCCACCCACGCTCACTGAGGCCACCGGCGCGGCCATGCATTCAAATCTGAACCATCTTCGCAATAATACCTATCCGCAAGTGGATATGGCACACGGATCGCATATGCCCACTTCTGATTATCCTTTGAATTCTTTGGAGCTACCGTCACAGCACCTTTTCAACTCATTTAGCGCGTCAGACTATCGGAATCCGCAAATCTCCGTCCACCAACCCCAGATACGGCCACCATTCGTGACGATGCAACCTGATACCACACAGCTGAATCATTCTAACATGTTGCAACACAACAATCAACAAATGCTATTGCAACAACAAATGCAGATGCAGCTTCAGTTCCAGCAGTTCCAGCAGTTCCAGCAACAAGCCCAGCTTCAGGACCAGCGGCCGATGTCCGCCTCCCCGCGTTTACCAGATTCTGTTTTCCAGGCTCAACAACAAGATGAAGCGCAGAATAGACAGCAATATCTCAGTCCACGCCTCCAGCAGACCTTTGATCTCCGTCCGCAAAATTCTTCCAACAGTAGTTCCGATGCGTTCCTCCAGCAGTCGCAATACCAGGCTCAGCAGCCTCCGCCTCTTACGTTGCTCGCTTCGAATAACATCTATGACCCTACGAACGCTTCTTTCTTGCTCAATCAGACTGGATCGGAAGAGCTTCCCCTGACGGACAATGAATTACTTCGGGCATCTGCTGATCTTAACCACGTCCGTATACCTTCGAATATTTCGACCAACGAGAAGTTTGGAGCTCTCGCCCTTCGAGATGCATCGGTAGGCTCGAATTCGAATCCTCATAGTCGCTATGCATCCTCACAAGGCTATCAACCCGGTCCCCCAACTGCGAATTCAGACTTGGTGATGCCTTCAAGTGGACTTCGATTTGAACACTCAGAATTATTCAATCAGCCGCAGGATGGGTTCGATTACCAATCTTCATCTGGACCTTCAACTGGAGTCTCGTTCTGGACGAGGCCCGATGAAATGCCTAACTCGGGGCTAACTGCCGGAGTTTTTACTGCCGGGCTTGAATCGTGTGTCGCCAAGCCAGCTGATGAAGGGAACCATCAACGCTCTTCTACAATTCCGGAACCTAGCCCAGAGGGCAAACGCCGTGCAGCTTTCAAGCCCTTGATTTCGTTCTCTCAACACCGTTGTGGTTCCGCACCGCCTCCAGCTTTACTGCAGACTTACAAATCCAACGATCCCAATTCTTTATCGGTTAACGTGGCTGCTCCCGAAGATGAAGACGGTCTCAGCTCGGATCTCCCTCGCTCAGCACCCGCCACCCTGTCAAGCTCTATGGAGAAGTCATTGAATGACTTCTTTTCTCAAATGCCTGAAGATGGTGCCCTCAGTGATGAAATGCTACATCAGCTCCTCGGGGCCGATCTAGCCTCGAGTTCAGAGGATGCCCCTCTCTTTCCATCAGACAACTCTTTATCATTTCCAACTTTGCTCTGAATGGTGACTTGTAAGAAAACCCTTCTACCCAGGTTCTTGTCTTCTACGGAGTTTTATACGGTACCGTTCTATGTCTTCTTGATTCATTTCTACCCATATTTCCTTCATAACATGTAGCTTCAATCAGGCTTTTGTTTATGAAACTTTGTATTCTCTTTGATTTGGCGTTTTGGTCCAGTCATCTTAATTCATCTTTCTCTGTTGTCTTTCTCTTTTGGGAGTGGAAATTTTCGGTGGGAATTGCTTGAAATTTTTCTGTTCAGATTCAAATTTTGTATCACCGCTGCATTTTATTGCCAAAATTGTAATTCAACATCCTCAACGAGGAAAACTATTAATCAAAGACTTAGATATGCCATGCCTTTCCTGAGAGTTTGTTTGAGTATTTGGCTTTGCCACATCTTTATTGAAGAGTGGACCGTCTGAAGTGATCCGCTTCGATCCGCTTTTTGGCGGGTTTTTTGTAAGAGGGGCGGTTTTCCGCTACACATGTGACCCGCTATCGAGCCGCTCTCAAGACAAGCCCGCTACAAGGCTTGTGTAGCACAGCGGCTGTTGGAGCCGCTTTCGCTCCGCTTTATCAAATTTCACGCGGAGGCAGCGGGCCCAGGCAACGTATTTATTCACCTTTTTTATAGCATCGTATCAGAATGCCATCAGTGTATCCTCCTTAGTCATTCTTCAGCTGGCTGAGGTTGATGTCAAGCATGGTATGAGGAGTTGAGCTGAAGAAGAATGAGGATGGGAAGAAGTGCTCTGATTTGGTAGATGAGGAACATTATTTGGATAAATTTGAGGAAGAGAAAAAGGAAGAAGAAAAAAAAAGGAAAAGGAAATCTACCTAACCTTCATCACAATCTTTGTTGCATTCAGATTCAAAATCAAAATCATCTTCTAAATTGTCTTCCTGTTCATAGTCTTCATCTGAGGAAGAGAGTGATTATTCTTACAAAAAACTGACCAAGAAGAAGAAACTGAAGTTTAAGAAGAAGAAAGCCAAATGCCATGATTTAACTTCCCTGCCAAAGAGATCGAACAAGACATTCAAAGAATTCAAAGAATTTGTTTCAATAACAATTTTTAATGGGACATATTTAGATTTATACCATACATCAACAAGTTCAGGTTCAAAGTAAAAGAAGCTGAAGTTAAAGGTCTTGGAAGGACTACAATTCAAGATGCTGGTGCAAGAGCTTCTGCAGCACCATCTGATTTTCAAAAAGGCTTGGTGCACCAGCCCTTGCTGGGTAGGCCAGGGTCAGATCTGGGTAAGAGTTTGATACAAACGGCCTTGTACCAGAATTGTTTTTGGCCCATTTTTGACTCACAATCTGACAACATCATCAGCTTCACTTGCCATGTAATTTTCCACAATCAAATGTGCATCAAACCAACTGATATAAATGGCACCTGATTGTGGGGCTTTCTCATGTCTGATAGTGTGGAGTCATTGGGTGATGAATGTGAAGCCCAATGCAAATACTGCAGGGAGGGTATGCATCCAGACCCATCTGATTGATCTTTATGTGATTGCAATCACATATTGAACATATTTCATAAACCATTTCAGCACTTTTTTATATTCGTTTTCAATTTTAAAAAAAACAAATTGTTGTGCTGACACCACCAATGCCACCAGACATGGTTTGTATTCTAGAGGGCCTCATTTGGCATGCAGTAACTTCAAGACCCCCCACACCAACATCTTGACCTACAATAAGCTCAACCTGACCTTATCTACTTGAATCCCAACATACAACACCTCACAAATCCCAAATCCATCAACACCCATGGTCTCACAGGTTGACATTCATCATCTTTGACTAGTATGAAGAATATGTAAGAGTGCCATAGTGGTACACAAATATCTCATCCCAACCTAAAAACACATGGCAAAAACTTATGACAACCCAATTCTTTTGGGGGTTTTGTCCCAAGGGTTTTTCACTTGGGTCTCCCTGAGCTGTTGGAGAGCTCTAACCCATGTAATCCTCTGCAACATGCCCTTGTCATCCCTATACACCATCATTATATCTCATATTTTGCTTCTTACTGCAACTATAGTGGCTAGTGTCTAAAACCATGAAATCAGGTATTTTGACCAAAAAGCTTATCAATATCACAGTTTTGATGCAAATTGGAATCCAAGACCAGATTTGGAATCCTCACCCAAGTCAATTTGAGGGCTCATAAGTTTTCATGATTTTTACAATGTAGTAATATTATTCCATAGAGTGTAATTTATGATCAAAAAATACAAAACAGACAATTTCTGGTGCTTTTGGACCTTCTCCATTAGTAAGAACAAAAATCAAAGTGATAAGTTGAAAATTGAGAAGGTTATAAAAAGGCCCTTGCTATTTGCAGCCCACACAAAATCCATGTAGGCGCTGCCAAAACAGTGCCTACATTTATGATGTAGGCTCTTTTTCCTTTTTCAAATGACGCCTACAGGCTGAAAAACCAATGTAGGCGTCATCTGTGTACGCCTACATTCTAAAAATAAAATGTAGGCGTAAATTTTAAGTGCCTACATTGTGTAGGTGTCACAAAAATGCGCCTATAGTGGGAACCATCAAGAGCCACTTAATCAGATAATTTTTCGAACAAGATTACCGAAGTCACAAATATCACTCAATTCAAAAATCAAGATATTTTTGGGGTCCCCTTGTTCAGGGTTATTCAAAAATATCCTCAGAGGACCAAATTTCAAAGTTCTTGTTTTTTTATTCCTGACGCTCAAGAGTGTACCAGAGGAAAATCAGATGTTTGTTGTATGTAATTACAAACTACCCGGTCCGTGGCTTCTTGTGTCTTGATGGTTCCCACTATACATCTTTTTTTTGACTGTAGGCGTAATTTTGTGCGCCTACATATTTTAATACCAACACCCTTATAATTTTATAATCAAATGTGCACTCTCACATTTAATACCCTTATCATTTAATACCAACACCCTTATAATTAATCTCACCACACTTATAATTAATCTCACCACCCTTATAATTTAATACCAACACCCTTATATATTAATACCATCACCCTTATAGATTTGTATTCACACGTGTATAAGACCCTTATAACTAACTTAAGCGCCTACATGGAAAAAACAATGTAGGCGCTCAAAAAAAGGCCCTACCTTTTATTTTTAGAATGTAGGCGTACACAAATGACGCCTACATTGGTTTTTCAGCCTGTAGGCGTCATTTGAAAAAGGAAAAAGCGCCTACATCATAAATGTAGGCGCTTTTTGGCGGAAAACAACCGTGTAGGCGTAATTTGGACAGCACCTACATGGATTTCATGTGGACTGCAAATAGCAACAGCCTATAAAAAAGGGAAAAAAGTGATCAATTGATCATTGGCATTGGGTACATTTTTGGGAAAAAATATCAGATGATACACTTCCTAATGCTTTGCAACATTCTCCATCAGTGAGGAAAAAGACTACAGTAATAAGTCAATATTTAAAAAAAATATAAGGAAAAATGAAAAAAACTATTATCAATTGAAGTCAGCATTGGTTGCAGAGTTCCAAGCAACAGTTCAATGTGACTTGTATAGCTGGACATTTGGGTAAGGACCAGGTTGTGCTTTCATATCCTCCCTATGAGCAATGAGTTTGCTAAACATAAGTAAAAACTGGGGATGAGGGGAGATGAGTTTCACTTACAAGAGGTGCCTCATTGCTGCATTGATTTTGCAAGAAAATTGTTGGATTGTTACAAGGGGACATGCTTTCCTGATTGTTTAAAACCTTTCCTTTGCTTCTTGAAGGTTAGAGCACTCAAAGCTGTGTTCTTGGTAGCCTGAAGCAAAATCAATGTGTATCAGCCAGTTTTGAAAGAGATGAAAAGGATAGACTTGCATGGTTTGATGTAACACCAAAGAAGCTCAATTGGGTTGAATTCACAATGAAATTTAGGAAGAAACTTGCAAATATGTATACTGCTTCCTTGATTACCTTTTGAAGCAATGGCTTTTTGTTTTTGAAGTCAGACTGTGTTGTTAAGACTTTGTATGCACAGCAGTCCGGGATTTCAACTTTGGCTGATGCTTCACTAGGTCTTGCTTGATCTTGCTCAAGTGTAATTTTAGCATTTCTAAGTAGGCGCTCTGCTTGAGCAATCTGGGCCTTGGCACGTCCGGTCTGCTTGCAGTCCTTACACTTTGCAACCATCTCCTTTTCACCCCTTAAAGCACATACCCTGTTGTGATAATCCCACAAGCTGCACTCGATAAGAATCTGCCAAACTCCTTTTGGCTTCCCCGCAAGATGTTCTTTTTCAACTTTACCTCCTTTAGACTTCTTTGCCAATGTTGAGTCTACATCATCAGTTGAAAAGTTCATTGTTTGAACCTTTCCACAAAGTTCAAGTGGGATATTTGGATCATCAGAAGGTATGATGGTGTTTCAAAGTTTTGGCTTTGAACCTCCGGGTTTGAAATTCATTTTTGAGAATCAAAGTGCGTCTGGAGCAAAAGACTTGTGTGCTGCTGAGCAATTGAAAATGAAGCAGGCTTGAGAATGTGGGTGGTTGAAATTGAAAATTGGTATTGCTCAATGGACAACCTGATCTATGAGTTGGTTACAATCCCACCATGCATTGGCCTTTGCACCTGGATAGATGGTGACTGTGCCATCCTTGAAAGGAAGAGTTGAATTTGAGTCAATGGGTATGATGAGTTGGCCAGTTGGAAGGAGGACAAAGTCTGATATCTGTATGAGTTTACCAACACTCTTTGTCCAAAGTGCATAGCCCTTATCACACATCCACACTGATTGAGGCTGCTCATTAGTGTGTATTGTTGATTCATTGTGAGAGACTCAAATGATGTTGCAAACCCCTTTTTCAAGCTCTACATCAACCTTCTGGTCCATCATATCACCTACATAAGAATGCACCCGTTTATGTAATTTCAGAAGCTCATTAATAAGTTTTTCTTGATAGATCACAACATCTGGTCGCTCATGTCCGTCATAATATAGACACCTCTTG